CTGTGTTTACTCAGATGTTGCAGCTCTTTCCCAGTCCTATTTTGAGAGCCTTTCAGCCCAAATGGACTATTACTAAAGGTGCGCAGTAATGTACCAAACAGTGTTTCTTTGCTATTCATAAGCTTTTCCCTGGCCAATTATTTGAGAAGTGGATGGCCTCTTCCTTCTTCTAGTCTGTCTCAGCCTACAAGCTGGGCTGTTACCTGTGCACCAGGTGCATCTTGCTGGGTTTTAAACACCAGAGGCTCAGCCTCAAAACTCAAGTCTACATGTCACCACAGTAGGACAAACCGACAGACAAATTTTTCTTGCTGTTGGAGACCTCTCGTATCACCCCCAACTGGGTCCCTGTGGCTGACTGTACCTCTGTCTGGCTTCCTGGCTTTTAATCCCCTTTCTCCTGCTCTTCTGCCCTGCTGTTTTGTGCATCCCTGAGTTGTCCCTCAAGCTGACTGCTCCAGTCATAGAGGTTAGAAATTACAATACACAAAGTAATTACATCAGATCACAAAATGGAGGATAATTACATAATACGAAGATACTAAGCTTAGCCTAGCCAAGTTGATACATATTTTTTGGGAACACAATTCAATCCATAACACTTGGTATTCTTACTTGTCAATCAAAGGAATAACAGACACACCTCAAGAGTGTTTGGGGATTGGTTAAATCGCTACATGCAAAGATTTAGCACAAGATGTGGTGCATTGCAGGATGTTACAGATGCTCTTACATTGCTACATTCTTGGGCACTGTCCTTAGCTTAACCTGGTGTTGCTCTGCTAAAGAGTCACAATTGCACTGCAGGCGAGAAAATGTGGGTACATCAATATGTGCTGGAGTCAGAGGACACACAGCTGGGTCAGACTTGAGTATCTATGGATCCCAGAATTCACATTGGTTACCTTCCAAATTTCTATGCTTCTTACAGTTTTTTGATAAAAAAAATTGCTTTGAGTTTTGCCAATCACAATGTAGGCTGTTCCCCTATGCTTCCATGGAGGTATTATTAGTTTTCTTTTCCTCCACAGATTCCTGTGCTTCTGAACTTGAGCCAAGACCCTGAAGTCAGCCTCCCTGTGCATCCACTCATGTATTCACTAGCCCTTGGCGCCTGCCTAGGAGGTAAGAATGCCTACTGCATCTGTGCAAAAAGGCAGAGGGAAACTGTTGTTGAGTCAGAAAGCAACTTTGCTGGTGAAATATTGAGAGTAAGGAGAGACCTAATTATTTCTCAAGTGGAAACTCACTACTGTCAGCTTTGATTGGAACAATTCTAGAGCTAACTCAGCTCCTCTGTGAAGTCTTCTGTGTCCCAGGTCTGGTGGAACTGCATGTGACTTTCTACACCTGTGCTCTGAGTTCAGTTAATAGAGCTTGGTCACTATCAACATTGCCATGTAGACTATGATTGTTCGGAAATAGTCAGAAACCATCCTCCATTATAGCCCTTTTTTCCCTTCTCTTATATCTTCTTTAATGGATGAAGTAATGTGATGAATGGGTGAACTGGGAAGCAGAGACTCTGAACTAAGAGTAGGAAGAAAGATGAACAATTTGTGGGGGTTTGTTTGAAGAAATGGACATGTCTGGAGAGAGTGACCCCTGAGACCGAATACAAGGCCTCTGGAATGTACTTGTCTTTAGAGGGCCCTGTATGAGAATATTCCCATTTGGAATCTTGATAACTTTGGGGAGCACAACAAGATTGCAGAGTTTGAGAAAGAAGCAGAAGTACTTTGAGTTTTCATATTTAGAAAACAATTTCATTTTTTAATTGTTATTGAGAATATACACAGCAAAACATATACCAATGCAATAGTTTCTACCTGTACAATTTAGTGACATTCATTACATTCTTTGAGCAATGCAACCATTCTCACCCTACTTTTCTGAGTTGTTCCTCCCTCATTAACATAAACTCACTGGCATCTAAGGTTCTTCTAATCATTTCAGTTTCTGTTGTAAATTTGATCCTGTATAGATAGTTCTTAAGGGAAAATGGTTCAAGGTAGACATTTTTTACTAGTTAAACTAAACTATTGTTTAGTTTCAATAAAACAGCAGGGGGTATTTTTGGTTTAAGGTTTAAAGATCATCTCAGGGAAGTAGTTTCAAGGGTTTATCTGGCCTCCAGGGCTCAGAAAGTCTAGAGTCTATGAGGATTTGTAATTCTGTTCTGTATTTTCCCCTTTTTGATTCTGGAATTTTCATTTTTACATCTAGACATGCTAGAATCTGGCTTTCCTTGTTCTAAAATTAATCTTAATAACTTTCTGTTTAGTTTTTTTTTTCCTTTTTTGTAGCAGGTGATTTATGTCATCAAGTGAAGTTTATAATTTCTTGTTGTTGTTGTTATGTGCCATCGAGAGCGACCCCTACTTGGGTTTCCAAGGCAGTATCACTACAGAAGTAGATTGCCCATCTTCCTTCTGAGGAGTGGCTGGTGGATTTGAACCGCCAGCCTTCTGGTTAGCAGTCAAGTGCCTTAGCCACTATGCACCTAGTTTGGTGGTTGAGGTCTCAAGTTTATCAGAGTATGGCCTATTAAAATTGTTCCTATCAAAGAACCAGCCATGAGAAGCCATACTCCATTCCTAGTTTTATTTAACATTAACAATAAAAACAAAGTACAAGGAGACCCGCAAACGAGTCTTCCATGTGAAATTTTTGTTGATTTAACCTTACTGAGTGTCTGCTATTAACCTGACATTGGGGTAGACAGTGAATTCACTCTCCATCTTTTGATGGAGTGAGGAAGATAGTCTCCTAAGCTAACGTTAAGACCAGTAAGAGTGGATCCATCCTTTTATAGTGGAATGTACTTTCAGGGAACACTGGAGATGAGGTAGGGGAAAAGATCAAGAAGGTTTTCTAGAGCCTGTAGTATTGAATTGGGTATTAAAGGAAAAGAAACCTCTTAAGCTCATTCTGCTTCTTCCAGAACATGCAGAGAAAACCTGGAGGGGTTCTCAAGGAAAGAAGTTAACATGGACCAGTTATATGGCTAATAACCTAAAATGGTAGGCAAACAATTTCTGACTGAGCCCATTTTGGAGGCAAGGACACAGTTGTCATGACTAATGAAGGTTTTAAGCCTTGAGATATTTTTGGCCTAGTAGCTCTGGTTTTCAAATGTGCTTGTTTCTGATACACCAGATGCCTAGTTGTTAACCCTACATTTACTCCACTGGGAATCTCTTTCTAATTTACTCAAGGTGTTTGAAAACCATTTTATAGATGTTTTCAGACACTTTTAGAAATGTCATTTCTAAATAAGTTGGATGAAGTTCACTGGATAGTTCAAAACAAGAAAATCTTTCCTGGTCTGACCCTAAAACTAATTGCTCTAAGAGCTAAAGACAATTCAAATAAGTCTTAAGAAAACTTCGCCTTAGACTGGAATTCCTAGAAAGCCAAGGATCAAGCAAAATTTACATGAGAAATCAAGAAAGTGGATGGAAGGAAGTGAAATGAGGCAGTGGAGAAGAGAAAGCAAACACACAGTACATCACCAAACTAGTGACAGCTTCACAAGAAGATAGAGCCAATTTTCAGTGAAGTGAGACATTTTCGAGGTGGGGCCTATGGAACCATTGTATCTTGCAAGAGAAGGACGGAGGAAAAGATTTATTAGTTCCATGCTGTCTCCTAGGAGCTCTGGTAGCATAGCACTTGACTGCTAACCAGAAGGCTGGCCGTTCAAACCCACCAGCCACTCCTTGGAAGGAAGGTTGGGCAATCTACTTCAATAGTGATACTGCCTCTGAAACCCAAGGAGGGATGGCTATGAGTCGGGACCAACTCGACGGCACATAACAACAACAACATGCTCTCTCCTATCTGGCATTAGTCAAAGTTTGCATCAGGGGACTTCTGAATCCAGTTAGGAATTATACAGTTTCAAGAGAACATTGCCCTCAACCTGACATAGAACAAACCCCATGAACTACAAAACCATAGTTTTAAAAAATCCATCAGTATATTGAAGATGCAAAGAAATTTAAATGAAATAAATTCCAGAAATTGGAATACCTATTAGTAAAATGTATGGATCATACGGTAGATGAGCATCTTTTCCACAGATTATTTATATAAATCTTGAGTAAAGTGTGTTCATTTTTTTGGCCATTCTTTTATTGTTTTTCTTGTTATTGAAGCTTGAGAGTTTTAAAATATTCTGGAAATATATTCTCTCACTCTTTCGTTTGTTTTTTGTTCTCCAAACAATGTATATCAAAGTGTCAAACAAACCAAACTTACTGCCATCGAGTTGGATCCAAGTCAAAGCAACCCCTCCTTGGGTTTCTGAGGTGGTATCACTATGGAAGTAGATTGCCCAACCTTCTTTCTGAGGAGCGGTTTGTGGATATCAAAGAAGAGAGGTTTATATGCAGAGAAGTCCCATTTATCTATTTGTTCTTTTATGAATTGTGCTTTTGGTGTCATGTCTAAGAAATTTTTGCCTAACTCAAGGTCACAAAGATTTTCTCCTTGTTAGAAAACTTGTATGTTAGGTTAATATTTAAGTCTATGAGTCATATTAAGTGGATTTTTGTATACAGTAGAAGGTATAGAGTGAAGTTTGTTTCCTTTTGCATATGTACATCTAATTGTTTCAGCACCATTTGTAGAGAGACTTTCATTGTCTGCTGAATTGTCTTCAATTCCTTTGTCAAAGATAATTTGCCCTTATATGTATGAGTCTATTTCTGGACTCTGTTTTGTTCTATTGATCTATTTATACATACTGATACAAATATTATGCTATCTGAAATAATTTAGCTTTACAATAAAACTGGAAATCAAGTATTGTTAGCCTTACAAATTTATTATTCACACACACACATATATATATGTATATATATTTGGCTCTTCAATTTAAAATATTGAAGCTTCTGATGGATGAATAAGGTAGAGCTTTCAATTTATTCAAGCCTTTTTAAATTTCTCTAAGCAATGTTTTATAGTTTTTGATGTACAAGACTTTCACATCTGCTGTCAGACTTATACCTAAGAATCTCAGCCACAGGGATCCAGGCAAGGAGAAAGAACCCAGGCACGCCCAAAGCAACAGAACAGGAGAGCAGGAGAAAGAGGATTAAAAGCCAGGAACCCAGACAGAGGAGCAGTCAGCCACAGGGATTCAGGTGAGGAGAGTGAACTCAGGCACACCCAAAGCAGCAGGGTGGGAAAGCGGGAGAAAGGGGATTAAAAGCCAGGAACCAGGACAGAGAAGGAGTCAGCTGCAAGGGTCCAGGTGAGGAGAGAGAACCCAGGCACGCCCAAAGCAGCAGTACGGGAGAGCGAGACAAATGGGATTAAAAGCTAGGAACCCAGACAGAGGAGCAGTCAGCAGCAGGGATCCAGGTGAGGAGAGAGAACCCAAGCATGCCCAAAGCAGCAGGGCAGGAGAGAGAAAGGAAGGGGATTAAAAGGCCCAGGAACCCAGACAGAGGAGGAGTCAGCTGCAGGGACCCAGGGAAGTGGTACAAGAGGTTTCCAACAGGGAGACAAACTTGTCTGTCTGTTTGTCCTACTGTGGTGATGTATTGATGTGAGTTTTGAGGCTGAGCCACTAGTGTTTCAAACCCAGTGGGATGCACATGGTGCACAGGTATCAGCCCAGGTTATAGACTGAGACAGACTAGGAAGAAGGAAGAGGCCATCCACTTCTCAAAGAATTGGCCAGGGAAAACCTTATGAATAGCAAAAACAAACAAACA